CCTAAATCTTTTGCACAGTGCTGTAGGTACATAAATGCATAAATATACATAAATATACTGCGCCAAAGAGAGAAAAAGAGACTCCTACTTGAGTTGATCCATAGCCTCCGCCATGTATCTGTTGTTCGTTGAACCATCTGACAATAGGTTTGGCATCATCAAAAGCCTTTAATAATGAAAATCAAGAAAAGGGTTTAAATCTCTGTAGTTAACATTTTATTATATTGTATCAATTATTAGTGTGAATGTTGATTCAACATATTATTATTATTATTAATATTATGTAAGTTTTTTGGACCATTACTATTCCTGCATACTTGTGGAGAGTCAAGAAACTGGACTTTCAACCAGGAGACCGGTGTTCATTTCCCGTGTGACAAAAAGTCAACATTAAATATTAAATATTTATCTAAGTTACATAGTTTACGTAATTGAACAAGTTACACAAGTGTTAGCAAGTCTAACCTGATTTTTATTACATTATTTATTGTTGCTAACCGTTGCTAACTTGACCACAGAGCCCTAAACATCACTAAAGGGGTACCCATCAAGCAATGCCAAGAGGTATTGACCAAGCGTCAATATATGACGAGTCGGGAGTGAGAATGTGTTGAATTTGGAGCAGAGGGCAGCCATTGTGCAGCGCAGTTAAGGGTTCAAGTGCAGTATGAGCAACTCGCCCTGGAGGTGAAGAGGTTTCAGGATGGAGATCCCTGGGCAGGGTGAAGCCTGTCTGGCAGACACAGCATAGCCGCATGGTATCGCCGTCATCTCGTTCAGCTCACACTGGCTTCTTGGATGCCATGGTGAGGAAAGCTTTTCTTTAGTGCTTTAGATGCTCTTTAGGCAGTCCTGAAGAAAACATGGGAGCCAATTTCCAGGTCTCACGTTCATATATACACAAGGTGAAACCATGGTTGTGGCCCGTCCCACTGATGAGCATAGACAAAGCTCTTCGGTGCTGTGCATGTGCGAAAGGGATAAACCCACTAGTGATAGCCTTAGAGGGTGAAGCCTATATGAAATTTTTTTTTTTTTTTTACCAGTTGTAATGAAACTGTATCATATTTTTTGGAGAAGATATTTTCGGATTTTCCCTATGATGTCCTCAAGGTACTCTGCCTCGACTTTCTGATTTACGAAGTTTGTTAGTTACTAGTACAGTTAGCAGTCCTATTAGCTGATTCTGCACGAATCTTTAGTTAGTACAGAAGCTTTGGACTATTGTTTCAGGCAGAGGCAGCCAGTGGTGGAAGAAGTACTCAATTTTCATATTTAAGTAAAAGTACAGATACCTCACGAAAAATGTTACTCAAGTAAAAGTAAAAGTCATCCAGTATAAACCTACTCAATTAAAAGTAAAAAAGTACTTAGTATTAAAATATATGTATGTAATCAAAAGTAAAAAGTACAACATATTTTAATCTATTGATCTAACTAAAAGCGACCTGTCTTTTTAAATTTCACTCAAGACATCTTCTGACAGACACAGTTTGGGACTGCATGTTAGGATGAGACAAGGAGGTGGAAACTAACTGAAAACAGGCAGAAATCTCACCACAAATCCACAGAGACGTTAACTTCAGCACCACTGATAAAGTGCAGCTCACAGTCCCAAACGGTGCAAGGCTTCAGTTTTTAGATTTAGACATTGCAAAACTCTACAAGTTACATTTGCGCTCAGTGACAAACTGTGACTCACGGTGCCAAAGCAGAGCTGCTGCACAGTCACACCTGACACCGCAATGCTCTCAATACAATCCTCCGTCCTCATAAAATCTGTTAAGACTGGGGCCCAATCTGCTGGGTCATTTGGTGGAGCAGCAACTGTTCCATTATGGCGCTTCCATTACCAGTACCAGCACATCTCGACTTGGCTTGGCCGCGCTCCGTTTTCCATTGCAGATAGTACCCCGAGATAGTAGCCCTCAGTGTAGCTGGTCGTCATAGTGACGCCACACACAACTGCGACGTAATTTAATGTTCAATGCAACACACACACCAGCGATCCACATACAGCTGTCTCTTCATTTAAGTTAAAACGTTTTGACATTACGCAGAATGTAAAGACAGATAAGCGGTATGAAAACCTTACAGCTGTGTTTTCCTCTGTCGTTGTTGCTGCAGCGGTCTGTGTGACAGTGGGACCAGAGGGCTGTGAGCGGGCAGCTGGCCGGCCTCGGGAGCCTCGGGTTGGCGCAGGCTTCCCCCGCTGCCACTTGCTCAAGCATATTTTTGTTCTGCCATCACTTTTCATAAAACTGTCAATATTCAAAATCTACACAGTTGATTTCTCACCTCAAAACATCTGTGGTTAAGTGGATTTAGTTATAAAATAAAGTATGAAAACTGTAAAATTTAAAACTTGCTGTTGCTGGACTCTGTCTGGCGTGAGCAATGAGGACACAGTGAATAGTGACGACTCTCTCTGAAAAAAAGTACCTGGAAGCAGGTACAGGTACAACTTTTCCGCAATGGAAAACCAAACAAGGCGAGTAGAGGCGAGCTGGTACTGTGTAGTGGAAAAGGGGCTTTAGGGTCTGAGCTCACCTGGGTCTGTGGGACTTGAGATTTTTTCTATATATCAATGTTATCGAGCTGCATCAGGCCCACTCAAACGCAAAATTTCAAATATAAAATACTATTTTTAAAGTGAAAATGTGATGCTTATTATTTACTGAGATGTGCATCCAAATTGTCTGTCCACTAATCATCTTGTTTTTAGCCTGGGTTTGACAATATACGATAAGCCTTTATTGATCGCCAGAGGGGAATTTCCATTTGTTGCAGCAGTAAAAGGACAGAAATCAGTACAGTACATAAAGAAGGTAAAAAGATATATAATAAGAGGTATATAAAACAGACAACAAAAAATTATTTTATCCCATACTAATTTTGTTTACCCACTGAAATGATCAGTCTAAAATTTTAATGGTATGTTATTTTGAACAGTGAGACAGAATAACAAAAAAAATCCAGAAAAACGCATGTGAAAAATGTTATAAATTGATTTGCCTTTTCATGAGTGATTTTAGTACTCGACCCCTCTGCAAAACATGACTTAGTACTTGGTGGCAAAACCCTTGTTGGCAATCACAGAGGTCAGACGTTTCTTGTGGTTAGCCACCAGGTTTGCACACATCTCAAGAGGGATTTTGTCCTACTCTTCTTTGCAGATCTTCTCCAAGTTATTAAGGTTTCAAGGCTGACGTTTGGCAACTCGATTTTCTATGGGATTAAGATCTAGAGACTGGCTAGGCCACTCCAGGACCTTAATGTGCTTCTTCTTGAGCCACTTCTTGTTGTTGCCTTGGCCATGTTTTGTGGGTCATTGTCATACTAGAATACCCATCCACTACCCATTTCCTATGTGCTGGCTGAGGGAAAGACTTCATCGTCCCTTTGATGTGATAAAGTTGTGCTGTCCCCTTAAAACACCCCTTAAGTATAATGTTTCCACCTCCATGTTTGACGGGGTCTATGGTGTTCTTGGAGTCATAGGCAGTATTTCTCCTCCTCCATACAAAGCAAGTTGAGTTGATCCCAAAATCCTGTGAATCATTCAGATATTCACTGGCAAACCTTAGAGTTGGGCGCTGCAGGAATTCAGTCCTTCATGGCGTAGTGTGTTACCAATTGTTTTCTTTGTGACTGTGGTCCCAGCTGCCTTGAGATCATTGATACGATCCTCCCATGTAGTTTTGTGCAGATTTCTCACCATTCTCATGATCATTGCAACTCCACGAGGTGAGATCTTGCATGCAACCCCAGACTGAGAGAGACAGACACTTTCTTCCATGTTTCTTGTTTCTTCCATTTGCAAATAATTGCACCAACTGTTCACCTTCTCCCTAAGCTGCTTGGCAATTGTCTTGTAGGTCTACAATCTTGTCCCTGACATCCTTGGACAGCTCTTTGGTCTTGGTCAGGGTGGAGAGTTTGGAGGTCATAAACTGAGATTAGGAGCACTCCCTTTTAAGAGTGCGCTCCTAATCTCAGCTCGTTTCCTGTATAAAGGACACCTGGGAGCCAGAAATCTTTCTGATTGAGAGGGGATGAAATTCTTCTTATTATTATTATAATGCTAATCAATTTTTTCAGTATTTTTTGAATTTTTTGTTGTGTCTCTAACTATTCAAATAAACCTACTATTAAAATTTCTTTGTCAGTGGGCAAACATACAAAATCAGCAGGGGATCAAATATTTTATAGTATAGAGTATAAATTAAAGGCAAAAACCCCAGCCTGCCTCCCTCTTGTGTGATCACCTTTCCCCGCCCTAATGTATTCCACTTGTGCCTCATTGCCTCCCTGGTCCCTTTGTATAAATACCCACTCCTCCTCAGTGTTAGATCTGCTTGTTCCCTGTGACAGTGTTCCAGCGTTTCTTTGTCTTTAGATACCCCGTGTATAGAACCAGTTTACTACCGACCAAGCTGCCAGCCCAGCGTCTCTGAACTACTACTACTACTGTGAGTTATCTGTGTAAAATAAACTATCGTCACCCGTGCCTCCTGGAGTCGTGCATTGTGAGTTCATTCCTTCCGTGTGGCAGCCTTGATATTACATAGTATGGCAAATAAGTAATAGCATATGGTGAAAGAAAGAATTTATCATGTATCATCATATCATCTGTGATCATAAAACCTATTAACATTGTCTTACCCCGCTCTTCATGCGCTCACATCTTTAACATGCAAAACAAGTTTTGTGCACTGTTCAATAATCATAGTCTAGACTGTCTACATTTTCTCTGACCAATTAATTGGTAGAGTGTTTTAATTTGGTATATTCAACTACACAAGATATTTCTAAAGGTCGTCAATCATTTCACTCAGTGTAGTATGAATTATGAGTTGTCCATTGGATGACACACTTGTAAAATACACATATCTGGGATGTGCTCACCTTTGTCTTGACCAAAGCCAGAAGAGCGTAAGCTGTGGCCTCCAGTGTGAAAAGATGTGCATCACGTACAGGCCAGTGGGTCAACTCTGAAGAAGACAGACATTTTTATACTTACTAATCTTCATTGAATTTCAACTCTCAAAAACAAAATGTGTAATAATAATCAACAGCATTTCTAATGTGAAAACAGTTCATTTATCTTATCTAGGCTGTGTTCACTGCAGCCCAAGTGGCTTTGGGTAATCAGTCCCACTTTCGGCGCCCTTGCTTGTGGATCTATTCCAAGTACTGTTTAAAAACAATATAATATACTGTGTGGGGTTCATCAGTGGTGATAAATGATTATGCAAAACTCCACCGCAAAGTTTATGCAAAACTCTTCAAAACACCGGCACAGATGGCTTTCTGTCTCTCTCCCTCTTCTATCACACACGCTATTCCACACATGCACACTGACACCCCCTACCTTAAGGGCTAGGGTTACAATTTTGGATTTATTCATGCAGATTTATTTTTTTATTTATTTTTAAAAGCTTCTTTCTTTTCACATGTTTATTTACAGCATTATATGTCGATATTTATATCGTAATAGGCTGTATAGTGTATATTAACTTATTGGGAGAAAACCGGTAGTTCTATGCAAAATCAGAGGTTGAGCACCCCTATATAGCCAAAATGGTGTGATCCTTGTTTCATAGTGGCTCTGCGAAGATTCAACTGTGAGATCGAGTTGAATCGAATAATTGTCCACGAAGTGTAAAGTTTAACCTGTGTTTGCTATTTATTAGCTTTGTTATTATCCTGTTTATTAGAAGAAAGTATGTTTGAGAACAATAATTGAAGGTTAAGGTTCAACTTTGAACTGTTCTTAACTTGATCAGCTCTTTGTTCATTTAACTTGTGACACCCTGTGGGGTCAGGAGTGGGTGTGGCCTATCGCTCTCTCTTCCCTGTAGAGGAAGAGCTGATTGTGGTAACTGGAGGCACCTGGGCCCAGTGCCCTTGAGTGTAGGCTGAAACTCTATCTTCTCATTTCTGCAGGAGGCTGCTGTCGAGGCCAGGTCAGGGCTCCCCGGTTTCCTCTTTAGTTTGGTTGTCTTTGGTTTTGGACTATTGCTTTGCAGTATTCATCTTGTTTTTGCACACTACAACACCTTCACACATATACATTCATGCAACCATCATCCTGCACGGACACTACTGAAACCACAGACTACATACAGTACAGGCCAAAAGTTTGGACACACCTTCTCATTCAATGCGTTCTCTTTATTTTCATAACTATTTACATTGTAGATTCTCACTGAAGGCATCGAAACTATGAATGAACACATATGGAATTATGTACTTAACAAAAAAGTGTGAAATAACTGAAAACGTCTTGTATTTCAGATTCCTCAAAGTAGCCACCCATTGCTTTTTTGATAGTGCTGCAAACCCTTGGTGTTCTCTCAATGAGCTTCATAAGGTAGTCACCTGAAATGGTTTTCACTTCACAGGTGTGCCTCGTCAGGGTTAATTAGTGGAATTTTTTCCCTTATTAATGGGGTTGGGACCATCAGTTGTCTTGTGCAGAAGTCAGGTTGATACACAGCCGACAGCCCTATTAGACAACTGTTAGAAATCATATTATGAAGAGCCAATCAGCTAAGTAAAGGGAAACGAGTGGCCATCATTACTTTAACAAATGAAAGTCATTCAGTCCGGAAAACTGCGAAAACTTTGAATGTGTCCCCAAGTGCAATCGCAAAAACCATCAAGCGCTACAATGAAACTGGCTCACATGAGGACCGCCCCAGGAACGGAAGACCAAGAGTCACCTCTGCTGCTGAGGATAAGTACATCTGAGTCATCAGCCTCAGAAATCACAGGTTAACAGCAGCTCAGATTAGAGACCAGCTGAATGCCACACAGAGTTCTAGCAGCAGACACATCTTTAGAAAAACTGTTAAGAGGAGACTGTGCGAATCAGGCCTTCATGGTTAAGTAGTTGCTAGGAAACCACTGCTAAGGAGAGGCAACAAGCAGAAGAGACTTGTTTGGGCCAACAAACACAAGGAATGGACATTAGACCAGTGGAAATCTGTGCTTTGGTCTGACGAGTTCAAATTTGAAATCTTTGGTTCCAGCTGCCGTGTCTTTGTGCGACGCAGAAAAGGTGAACGGATGGATTCAACATGCCTGGTTCCCACCGTGAAGCATGGAGGAGGAGGTGTGATGGTGTGGGGGTGCTTTGCTGGTGACACTGTTGGGGACTTATTCAAAATTGAAGGTATACTGAACCAGCATGGCTACCACAGCATCCTGCAGCAACATGCCATCCCATCTGGTTTGCGTTTAGTTGGACCATAATTTATTTTTCAACAGGCCAATGACCCCAAAAACACCTCCAGGCTGTATAAGGGCTATTTGACCAAGAAGGAGAGTGATGGAGTGCTGCGCCAGATGACCTGGTCTCCACAGTCACCAGACCTGAACCCAATCGAGTTGGTTTGGGGTGAGCTGGACCGCAGAGTGAAGGCAAAAGTGCTAAGCATCTCTGGGAACTCCTTCAAGACTGTTGGAAAACTATTTCAGGTGACTACCTCTTGAAGCTCATCAAGAGAATGCGAAGAGTGTGTAAAGCAATAATCAGAGCAAAGGGTGGCTACTCTGAAGAAACTAGGAATATAAGACATGTTTTCAGTTATTTCAGTTTTTTGTTAAGTACATAATTCCATATGTGTTAGTTTATGTGCATAGTTTCAATCCCTTCAGTGAGAATCTACAATGTAAATAGTCATGAAAATAAAGACAACGCATTGAATGAGAAGGTGTCCAAACTTTTGGCCTGTACTGTATGTCCATACTTTAATTAGGTTAGTTTGAAATACCTCTTAATTTGGTTAATTTTGGTTTAAATAAACATTTTGTTAAACTTCTACCATGGTGTGTCTCCCTTTTGTTGTGGCCTTTTGAGCCAGGTCATAACAATCTGTATTTACTGTCAGTGGTTGCTGGGGATCTGATGTCTTGTTTGAACAATATTTTCTACTACTGTTAGAATGTGTATTTTATATAGAATTATATAACTTCCTATGACATAAAGAAAAGTGACATTGTGAAAAGAGATGATTAAATGATATAAACATTGGAAACTTATTGAACAGTTAAATTAAATCCTCAAGACACTAATCAAGGTGACCTCCCACTGTTTGCCACTTTCCCAGGGGCATGTCAAACAAAACCCAGGGGACCTTGTTGTCTTATGCTCTTACTCTCCAGAACACTCTCCTAAACTTTCCTGTCTGGAGAAATCTCTGCAACTTTTAATTCTCCCTGTTCCTTTGTCTCCCCAGAGCAGGAGATTTGACTTGCCTATTTGTTAAGGCCTTTACCTGGGACAAAATTTCCCCAGACTAGCTATCTTTTTAAATTTACTTTAGCAACGTTTAATAATATTCACGAGGTCTCGCAAACCTCAGCGTATTATTGATGATACCTTTTTATCTTTGTTTTGTTTAAAGTTATTACTTTGATTATGTCTCTTGACTAAGAAGCAACCAAGAAGTTCTCTTTTGAAACCTTATTTCATTTGAATTGATTTTGACTACTGCTAATGTCCAACAGAGTTTGTGAACTTAGTCATACAAGTAAGTTACGCCACATCCAACTGTAAGACTGTTTCCTGACGCTACCTGTTGAAGCCTGAGGGACCCCAGAATCAACCCACTGGCCTATCACCAATTCTGCCACTTTCTTACGGTGTGCCAAGCCCCACCGAATGGGAGTTAACACAATTAACTGGATTGCCAGCTGTAGGCCTTTGAAGCAGTGAACAGGCTGAATAGTAAGGCAAAACAAAACTCGACATTCGCTGATCAGGCGTTGATGTCCCTAGAGCTCTGAAACCTATAGCTTAATTACAACTTAGCGACTACGTTAGGATTCACAACCTGCGTCAATTTGCTTCCTTTATTTCTTTTAGAATCATTCTTTTCACAATAGCCGCCATTGTAAATAAGTTGTTCTTAATGACATGCCTGTAAAAGAGAATAAAAAAACAAGAATTTACATTGAACCCTGTTAATTTTGTGCCAACTTCTGTTTATTGTACGTTGTTGTTGCCATATAATCATTGTTTGTTTGTGTCTCTCTCTCTCTCTCTATATATATATATATATCCTTATTTACCCTTCACTTGTCTTTAACTTAGTTAGTAAATAAATATTCCATTTTAATCAGGATGGTGTGTGTGTTCTGTTTATGATCCAGGTCACAGCTCAGAGAATTCATTCTTTAGATATGAGATTGATCTATTAATGTTGACTGATTATTAGTAACTAATTGTCTAATTACAATACTACAAACCAAGGTTTCCTAGCTCTTTGTGCGGTGTTGAGGTGGGGCCTCCCTTTTTCAACGAATGCCTATTAAATTAATATGCCAAGTATTAATATTCACAATTTCAGAAACATAGTGTAGGTTCACTCTAAACGTTGTATTATTATTTTGTGGATGCGGGTCACTTTAAGGGCCAGTTCACACTGGAGTCTGTTATGGGCCACATTTAAAAAGGTCTGTGAACAATCAATCAAAAAATATATCTGCGTAATGAATTAAGCATTAAGGCCTGCAGTGGGAACATAGCCTTAGATACTTTATAGTTTCTCAGTATGTAAGAATTTTTTTTTTTGACAAAACCTGAGACAAACTTGAAGAGGATCTGTCGGTCTAGTTTGTTTTCATTTGCCAGGGCGTATGATGTAATAGCAGCAGCATATGAGTTGGTGAGGCTGTGCAGACGTCCTTCCAGGTAGGAAACTGCTTTTTCTATACTGTGTATGAAATTCTGAACAGAAGCAAAAGACATAAGTATAGATAGCAATTTTAAGGGGCTGAATGAGTGGCAGACATGAAAATTATTCCAGTATATTAATAGCGTTTTCATCCAACATTACAACATTAACTTCACATCAAATTCATGCATTGCAATATCAAAGAGAAAAAAGGGATACTGGACATCCAGCCGTGAGATAGGAATGGAGCTGTAAGAGTCTGACAAAATATGATATGCACATAAGGAAAATGTATGAACCCGTCCAGCTCTGTTTATTCCAATTAAGCCAACATCCTTCCTTTACAGTAAGGACAGAACAGCACTGAGTCTGGGTGTAGAGAGGTGTGGATGATGTCTGGAAGGGGAACCGGACAGGGAGTATCAAAATACTATCAAATACTGAGTCCACAATCCATTGGCATACAGATGTTATTGGCTTAAGCTTGGCCCACAAAGGCATCTTAACTCGGCATTACACACACACATACACAGGCAATTAAGCATAAGTGTGGTTTGGCCGTAACATGAATTAAACTAATCAGAGTGTCATCTGCCATTCCCGTTGAAAACAGGTTTTGGATCTAGACACAGAAACAAAGTATGGGAGGGTCAGTTCACCAATTTCTTTAACAGAATAAATAAGTGAGATTTAAATAATCAATGAAGTTATGCTGCTGTGCACAGCACATCTCTTTACCCTACTTCACCCACCCAAAACCATCCATCAGAATGTTAATTTTTATGACCCAGCCCACCCAATTATCCACGGATTATCTGCAAAGACAAAATAAAAATAAATTATTCTGAATTGGATTATTTTGATGTGGAAAGCCGCATTGACTGTGAAAATGGGCAGTTATATCCCAGTTGCCCTTTTCTGTAAAAACATTGTGATTGTGGGGATATGTAAAAAATTGCAGGCTTTTGTTAATATTGCCTGGATTGTATTAGTGCACTTATTGTTAGAGAATGTAAAATACTGTAGTAATGTTTTAACCATTTTGAATGCTGGATATCATGTCTTTTCTCTGTGCTCATTTACTCATACTCACAACCCCTCGCTCTCCTAAATTGTAGAAATATTACTAACGGGTAGTTACGGGTAAAAAATAAAGAAGTGAGGGAAAAAGAGAAAACACTGCATGCAGGTGACATACTCACATCACTAGTGAAATTACATATTGTGCGTGTCTCCTGCATGGTAATAAGGCAGAAAGCTGTCATGGAGGCGTCTGAATCTGCGCCGCGCACATCACCCTATACATACACACACGTCATTACCATCATTACCATTACAATCAAGAACATTAAATATTAGTTTGTTCATTTATAATGATAGTAAATAACAAGATAAAGAATGTATGTTCTTTCGTGCACGCACGATCATCTCTCCATGGATAATCGTTCCAGTTTCTTCAAACGAGCCGTCAGGTTTCTGTGCACTGAGAATCAGAAACTTGACAGCGTCACAGATGACGTCTCTTTGCACTGCCACCAGATTATAGGCCATGGCAAACACCTTGGCAACATAGGCTGTCAGCCTTAGAGAGGAGAATAGAAGGTACAATAGTTTTTAATTTGCTTCAGTTAAATAACCTATACATGAACTATGTCGAATGTCATCAGAGTTACTCAGAATCTAAGTTAAATGAGTATTAGCTCATGCATGTTTTTCTTCACCAGGTGCTACTTTTGTGATCTGGAAACACAGCAAAGGAGCCATCACTTTTACGATAGGCCATCTCATTCACATAACCTGGAAAAAACAAAACACAACATTTTTACTGACTGCAATTTAACTCTATGGATCTTATCCATTGGATGCCTGTTTGAGTGCCTTGGTCTGGTATGTTTCTGGTTATCTGTGGTAATAAATACATCTTTGTGTGCCTACCCGTCTTGATGTGTTCGAGGGCTTCTTGTCGTTTCTCAAATCCTACAGTTTCCCACTGGTTGGTTTTGTCCAAATACGTGGTTGCAATGACAGGCAGCGTCATACTGGCTATGTTTTGCTCTCCACAACCTGAGGGCTGATTGATCAGAGTACCCATAGATTTCCCGTTAATGGCGTTCTCCACCAGTGCACTCATCTGCTCTCTTCCTGTGCGAACACATAGGAACAAGGACAGGATCAACAGGAGGAACAAAACAGGTCATTTTTAATCAGGAAAAACTGTCCTTTGCCACAATTAATAATACAGAGTTCATTGTTCAGGCACTGTGTATCAGATAACATGCTGGAAAAAAAGTATATCTCACCTGTCACAGAGATCTCTGTGCTAGTAGGTGTGTTTGGAACCAAATCTTTTTGAGGAATTTCACTGTTAATTATTTCCTCTTGTTTGCCATCTAAAGTTAGAAAGAGTTTTCAAGTTAGAGTATTAGCAAATGAAAAAACAGGCAAATTTTCTGTGTTTACTGCAGTTCCTAAACTGCTGAACTCACCTATGCCTTTCTTTGCAGGGTCAAGGGTTATAGTCTTCAGAGATTTTGTCAGTATTCCTTCAGGCTGGAAAAACAACAATTACACCTATCTGGAATCACTACTATTTTCAAGCAAATATTTTACAACATAGTTACAGCTTTAATATTTGCACCACAACAGGAGACAGCTTTAATATGGCATACCAAGCTCCAAGCTGACTGTACGATTCTGTTTCTCTTACCACCACCAGCAGATTCTTCCTGATTCCATCAGTGAACAATTTGTTTTTAACAGCTGCTTTGACTTCAATGTGGAGTTGTCCTAACTTCATGGGAATAATGACATAGGGTATAGACCGTGTGGTTTGGCTCCCAATTTCAACGTTGTCCTGACGATACCTCCCACGCCTAGAAGCTGAACTGCACACAGCCTGATTCTCAATCAGATCCACACGCACCTTGAAAAAGAGAAACCAAGACAAAGAAAGGTAATGGTCAAGATGTTAGCTTAGCTATTTAACTAGCTAATCAGCAAGCTTTAAGCAATGCCAAGCTGTGCTAACAATACTAAGATAAAATGAGTGTATGCTAAGGTTTTACATGAACAGAAGTCAAAACATATTAGAGAAGTATTTTAGAGTAATTTAGGATTATAATACTTGGAAACAAAAGGCGTCTGTTACAAGCTGGAAAGTAATGGTCCATCTCGTCAGTTAGCTGATGTTATGCAATGTTAACGTTAAACTTGCCAAACAAGCACTGTTA